TACATGAATGAACTAAAATCCACATTGAAAGCAAATATTTTGATCTACTTAAATAAAAAGGCATGCTATAATAAACAGAGTTCATTTTTAACTTATCAGTAAAATTCTCTTTAGAATTCTCTTATTAAGTTTGCTCATAGCACAGTACTCCTAAGATGAGTAACCTCTTAAAATAAATAAATAAATAAAGTCATAAAATTCAACCTTACATAGGATATGCTTTGCTAAAATGAATACTATTTTGCATAATATGACCTGATATGTTATGCAAAATTGCAAACACTTAGGGGTTGTTTGGTAGCAGGATTTAGGTCGGATTTGAGCAAAATCCAGCCAAACCGTCTAAAATGCAAAACCAAATCTCATGGTAAATGAAAGCCATGGTAGACGGAAAATTATCCCTTTTCGTGATAAATCCCGAATTTTCGAAATACCCTGATTCGGCGAATTTAACGCTCTATTGGTGCTAGAGGGAAGAAGAGTTTGCTCATTTCAAGATTTAATGCTCTATAGCCAAACAATCACACAGGATTTAGCAGGATTTATCATGAATGTTACCAAATGAAATCTTTGTTGATACCAAACAGCCCCTTAAAGTTGATTTTTAAATTATTTAAAATGTTATCAATGCTAATAGCAAGCTTAGAGCCATTAGTGCTTAACACTTAAATTTAAAATTTACATTCTATTAAAAGGGATTTCCATGCCAAAAATATTTGTAGATTTTTTAAAATAATTTTTATAAACAATTATGAAATATGCTGGCTTCAAGTTTTGAAATTTGTATCAAGAATACATGTGGGTGAGGAGACCCTTCAAATTTTTATAACAACCCAAAAATTAGCATTTTATAAATATCACCATTTTGAGAGCATTTAACACATTTTGGTCCAGTGATATATATATATATATATATATATATATCGGGTTTTTTATATAAAAATTTGACAATGAGTAGGTACAAGAGAAACAACAACAACAACATCAAGCTTTTATTCCACCACTACGTGGAGTTGACTACATGAATCCTTTTGCTCCATTGTATCTGTTTAAGAGTCAAATTCTCATTTAGATCTAATAAAGAAATATTATAAAAGAAACCTTCCTAAAAAGCTAAGACCAACAAAATTTTCAGCGAATATTTTGATCAAAGAGAGCTTGGATATTTCATCCAACCCTAAGTGATTTTGACCAACACAAAACATTGGAGTCCCCTCCACATTCTTATAGTTTTGTTGTCATGAGAAATCAGGTCAGAAGAAAGGAATAGATGATAGTCTTTCTCATGCAAGCCTTTTACCTTGGTTAATCTCAATAATGAAATTGGAATTTGCTACAGTTTTCAAGCATTCACATTCTCTCAAATACCGTACTAAATGTTTTCTCAATAGAACCTCATGAATAAAGTGGTTGATCTTAAGAACTTTCATTTCTAAATACTGCAAGGCCCTGTAAACATATAAGGAAATTGACTTGAACAGTTCAAAAGGGTAGCAGATTTCAAATTTGTGATTACAAATTTTGATCAACCTACAGTTCACCGGATTTCTTTTACTTCACTTTCCTTTCATCCAAACCTAGCCTAAAGAAACAACAATCATATCTGCTAACATAAATTTCTCCAATCACAACAGGACAATAACTTCTAAATGGTCTATTGATTAGATATCTTGTAGAAATATACATATAAAACCACCATGAAGCTAACTGATACAAAGTTTCATACCTTTCAGCATTCTGTTTAAATCCTGTTTCCTTGATCTTTGACAATGCTTTAGGTTGAATTTTAACAGAGAATATTTGATTCTAAGCTAGAAGGCATTGAGTTTGCTTCATCGTGTCCTTTCATGGCTTCTAAACTCTGAAGTTAGATGTACAATCTATTTCTCAAAATTGCTTTGCCTTCACCATAGCATTCAACCTTGGCTGTTTTAGAAATCTTCTTTCAAGTGCTGAAACTTTGGACTGTTCTTTCTAGCTGATCAAGGTTAGAATCTCTGATGTCTGAAACTGAGGCCATTCTTGTATACTTTGAAGCTAGGCACTGAGCTCACCGTTTCCGGCAATGCTAAGCAATATTTTCCCCTCATATTCACCTGCTTGCAAATCAGAAAGATAAGAGAAAAAAGAATGAGAAATAGATCAAGAAAAAAAAAATTATAGGAAGGATTTATTATTTAAGTAGAGATGCACTGTAAAAGGTATACTTTTCTCCACCAACATGGTAGAAATGCCCTTTTTTACTTGCAGCTGCTCATCCACTTAGTCATCTGCTCTGTTACAACCCACACAAAATGATATACAAATCGATATACAAATCGAGAGTATTATTTTCGTACTATCCACTTACTATAGATGTAATAATTTGACAAAAGAAAAATGAAAAATTAATTGTCATTAAATTTACCTCTGGCTTGCATTCTTATTAGCAAGGTGTTTGATTTCAATTAATAAAAAACTATGTGATCCCCAACATTATGGTTGCTCTTATTTAGTTTCTATGGATCACAAAACTCTCTAGTCTATTCCCAACCTGCCACTCCTATCAATCAGCCTTGGTCTTTGGCTATAAGTTTGATCGAAGGAGTGATAGTTGTACTAGGGACAAATGCAATTGTGGCCATAATATTTGTTGGGCATGCCCTCATTGTAACTACATTAATCATCCTCCTAAACATTGCTAGGAGAATTCAACTCGGCCTTATACTTCCATTAGTGCAATCATGCTTACCCTTTCCAGTTCTTCATCCATTAGATTATTTACTCTAAAAAAAATTATGATTGGTCATTTTGATAATATCAATCATCTATTGTGTCACCTCATGTTCTCTCATTCCTTTGATCCAATGTAGTTGTCTCTATTAGTATGGTCCTAGATTTTACTATTTTAGATTTAGGCACTTTTTCACATATAACATATAACCTTCATCTTTTTTCATATCTTCATATGACAGCACTATCACATGTTAGAAAAGACATTGTACATTCTATGAAAACTTTTCTCCACAAGTTTCTAATTTCTATCAATTTATTATTTATTAACCGTGATAGAAGTGGGCTCCAAAAATTCACGCCCCGACCTCTCCGAGACCCCTTTCTTTTTTGGTCGTTGGCGAGGAGAGTTTTAATGAGTATAGGTTCCGGGGAAAATTTTCAAAAGGCATATTAAGTTTTAGATAAGACACTACCTAGGGATTTCACCCTAATTTTGTAAGGACTTTATGATATGAGTTCAAATTTCCTATAGGTGCAAACCCCTATAGTTAATTATCCCTCTCGATAACAAGAGAGAACTTTTGATTAAGGATAGTCATTAGAATAGGCACTTAGTACCCATCATATAGTTGCCATAGAATTTGACATTGAAAATTGAAATTTTATCACCGTGCCCTTAAACTAGATGGTGGGGGGAATGATGATGAACCCGATCAAGATCCCATGGTTCCGTCATCCCGAGCCATCATAGTCTCTAGTCGACTTAGTTAGAGGAGTTAATCGACCCAACCTGACCGAAAGATCCTTGTCGACAACCATGGGTTACGTCTTTCAAGGTTACCTTGTAAACTTGGGATAAATGTTTATCTAAGGAGATATATTTGAGTCTACCTTAGCTAACAAAAGGCTTTATGCCCCATCAATTATACATTATTTATTCATTACTCAAAGGTTTAAAATCATTGGGGAACATACGAGCTCTACACGTGATCATAATTTAGTGGTACCATTTGACGGCAAAGCCACACGGTAAGAAGACACGTGCCATTTGGTGGTGAAACCATCGGTTAGAGGACACGTGTCACGTCCTTAATGACAAGAGATGATTTGAGAATGAATCTTAGTGATACTCTCAACTAGACATTCGTTCTTTATGAGCTGAAGTGATTTTCAAATTTATCCATCTTGACAAACTATTATGGATGATGAATGAATTTTGACTTTAAGATTTTACATGTTTTATTTCAATTAGGCATTTTTGAATTTTTGAAATGTAATAAATTTTGAAAATTTTATTCATAATTGACCTCCAGACAATAACTTTGAGATTTGGGGACATTTCTTTGAAATTTATGTGGACCTCTCCGATTGATATTTGCATTCAACATGATCATTATTGGGATTCTATAAGTATTGTCATTTCATTAATTGGACCTTGTCAACTCTATTTGCTTGCAAATGAAGGATCAGGTCCAGCTCCTAATTTATGGAGTTATTGTATAGACGTTAGAACTGGGGGTATCCATTTTAATGCGTGAACTTTCGACCATGCATTTTTTCAGTGGTTCAGGTCGTGTCAATTCCGGTCCATTCAAAAAGGGGAATCGGACTTCAACTTAAGTTCACTTTTGACCCACGCAATATCCTTAGACTTCACGTCTATACATACATGCGGGTACATATTTTTGAATGCATTTCGTGTAATATATATATATATATATATATATGTGTGTGTGTGTGTGTGTGTGTGTGTGTGTGTGTGTAAAGTATTAGATGTGTATGACATATCTGCATATTCACATACACACTCACATATTCATTTGCATGTTAACATACATGCATATGTATTTGTATGTTTGCATAACACATCTGTGTGATGACTCAATGCCATCGTGTAACGTTTAATCATATTTTCGTGTTGGTATGATACACTACCATGACATAATACATTTTGCATGTTGGATGATATGCTCACATAATGTGTTTTTGCACGTTGCAATGTATATAAACACAATATGCTAGCATGTTAATGTAATGAGCCGTCACGGTGTAATGTACTTTATATGTTGAATGATATGATTACATAATATATTCCACATGCAACAATGCATATGTACTCAGTGTATTTATATACTAGGTGGGAATACCCATAACAATATCTACTCATGACTAACTGTATGCACTTATGATGTATTTGTATTGTGTAGTTGCATGCCTTCTAAAGTATTTGTGTGATGCATATGTATATGCTCAATGCATTGGTACACATTTTAACATGCACTATTAAAATATCACACGTTTTTCAAAACAACGACACTTCCAATGTGTCGCATCTAAGTTTAGGAAATCATATTTTAATGCAAGTGTGAGGACATTTTAAAGTATTTGAAATTAATCAGTCGTGCAAGTGATTGTCATCTGAGTGTGCATAAGATTCTATTTAGAAATTTGCAAACGCCTTATATCCGCTTATACGAGTTTTGCGGATCCAATGATGTTATTTAGTCCATTTCATATTCTGCAAGCTGTCATTTTCTTCAACCTAACTCGTAGGAGCATGCTTCTACCTACAAGTGAGTTGTATGATGCGTTACGAGTTCTCCACCTTACATCTACAACTGGGCTAATCTATTCAGCGTGGCAACCTAGCCCTATAAGTTTGCTACTTCTGTTTACAAGTGATCAGTAGTTTTCACTATAAATTTCCTACTTCTTCTTGCAGGCGAATCATAGCGCTGTGATACGGGTCACTTGTTGCTTCTTGCAAGCAAGCTGTTGTACCGTGCAAACTTTTTTAACATCGTTTATGGGCAAGCAATAAACTTTCAAAAGCCACTAGCTATCTTATGTTGTTGAATTATGTTCAGTGTGACATCCTCCAACACTACTTGTGGGTAAGAATGTTGTGTGTGTTTCAAGTTTAAGCTCTCTACTTGTGGACAAGCCGCATTCACCACGAGTTTGCTATTTTAATTTGTATGCAGGCTGTTATGCACATGATGAGTCATCTATTGTTGCTTGCTAGTGTTTGTGTTCATAAAATTTTGTTACCTCTATTCGTAGATAATGTGTTGTATTCATTGTAACTCCCTTATCTACACTTGTAGGGTATCTGTCACATTCATTGCATATTAATCACCATTGTTCATGGGGGATTGCTGCATTTGTTTGCAAGTTTATTAGTGTCAATTGTAGTAGGGCCATACTCATTTCAAATCCAATATTTCTTTAGTAGATTAGTATATTCATAAAAAAACCCTCTTTGTTAGTGCCTGTAACTCATTTGCTCTCACTTGCCGGTCAACTGATTGAATATCACAAATCACCTTAATTTCATTGTTTATCACTTATGGGCAAGTCATCATGTGCATCGAGAGTTTGTTCACCACAAGCCTCTTGTAGTTGCATGCTAGTGCGCTATCATCAAGCTTCATTATTACTTTCATCATTTATTATTTGATTGCATTTTTTCATTTTAGATATTTAATTCAAGCTCGATTCCCTGTGGTTTTGATTGCAATCAAGTTCCCTATGATTCTGCTTAAGTTTTGTTCTCTATAAATCAATCCAAATTCCGGCATCCTCCCGACGTCTCCCTAGTTTAGGGGAAATTCGGGAGTTTAGGTTTGCCCACCACGCCAAGAAATGTGTGCATGGTCGGTGTCGGACAACACCTAGGCCGTGGCCTTCTACCCCACCACACCAAGAAAAGTGTATATAAGTTGCAAGGGTACCTACATGAAAAACTTGCACATTTCCCCGGCAGACTTTAAAGCGCATGGGTACTTAAATTTTACCTCACCGTGCTAAGAAATACATGCACGAGGCTTACCTGCCACGTCGCAAGCACCGCACCAAGTTCCCCCCCCCCCAACAAACCCCCCCCCCCCCCCCCCCCCCCCCCCATGCTAAGAAAAGCGCGCATATGAAGTCTACTCGTTGCACCACAAGCGTTAACAATAGGATTCTTTTCTTGGGGTTTTAAGTTTAGCAAGCATTATACATGTTTAGGGAAGTTTTAGCATATGATAGCCTAATATAGTAAGGTTCGCTATATTTCAAAAGAGGTCTATACTAAGGTCGGTATTCATTCATTTTTATAAATAGGTGGATCTCTCTTGAGTATGGCACAAAATTTTCTTTTCTAACCCAAATGTTATTAAAAAAAATACAAGTACAAGCATCAATTTTGCTTAAATTAATGAAAAATTGCATTTTGTAGAAGCATATTAGTACATCAACGTAAGCATTTAAAATGCAAGAAAATCACCGTGGCCATTGAAACTTACCAGGTGATTTGACAACACCATGAAACTGGTCTTTGTTGGTGAGATGTCTGACCTCAGAGCCATTTGCAGCCTCTAAAATTCCTTCAACACTCTTTCTCTTGAGATGTTCTTTAGCTTCCTGCAAGGCTTTGATTACTGTCTTATCTCCCGACATTTCAAGAACCAATACCTCATAATCTTCTACAGATGCCTCCCACCGCTCCATCTAATAAAAGATTCCAGATATAATCACCTTCAGCGTCTACAATAGCAAGTATATAAGCCAAAGGAAAAAGTGTCCTGCTCACCTTGGCATTACAATCTGCTCTCCTTAGGCGAGCCTTGCTGTATTTTGGTCGTAAAATAAGAGCAGCATTGCAATCTTCAATGGCTTTTTGCCATTCACCAAGCTTAGACAGGCAAGCAGCTCGATTGCTTAGTAGGATTGCATTCTGAGGGTCATGTTTAAGGCCATTGCCATAGGCAAGAGATGCCTCAGAAAATTTGGAGGCCTTGAAAAGATTATTACCCATTGACCGAGCTGATGCAACTGATCGAGCCTTTCGAGCAACAGCAGCAATTTCCCTGCTTCCAGGATCTATTTGTGCCGCCATTTGAGCTAATGAAACTGCATTTTCAAATTTTCCTTCAGCCATATCAACCTGTGCTCTTACCGAAAGATAATATGCGTTGCTCTGGGCACCAAAGAACTTTGTTGAAGAAGCAGTCTCAAATTTGGGCGCATCAATCATTGATTCCTCTGCATCTTCCAGCTTGCGGAGCATCAATAAGGCCTCAGCTTGGTAGGCAAAGATCTGCGAGAAAAAAAGGGAAAAAAGAATTCTATGAAGTCAGTCGATTCTGATGAAAGTTTGAGTAAAAGAAACGGACCAATTTACATTTTTGTATGTAGTGTAGATTTACTAAGATGTGGTAGGATAAAAATGATTTGCATTTTCTAAAACATAGCATATTGACTTAATGTTTTTATTTTTATTTTGAACAATGTTCAAAAAATGCCTGTTCATGGAATAATTATTAGGTCCGGACACTAGATGTAGCTCTACATCCGGACGTCAATAACATGTCGTCACGTGCTCTTACTCTTTACCACGCGGCCCGACGACCCGACCCAGACCGGAACCCGGTATTGCTATCTTCGGGTATTGCTAGGTATTGCTCGGTATTGCTAGGTATTGTTTGGTATTGCTAGGTATTGCTTGACAATAACGAGAAATATCAATCCGTCAAGACCAATACCTAGCAATACCGAGCAATACCTAGCAAAACCGGGGTATTGCTAGGTATGGCCCGGTTTTGCTAGGTATGGCTCGGTATTGCTAGGTATTGGTCTTGACAAATTGGTATTTCTTGTTATTGCCGAGCAATACCGAGCAATATCTAGCAATATCCCGGTCTACACAAATCATCCAATACATAGCAATACCGGGTCCGGGTCGTCGGGCCGCGCGGTAAAGAGTAAGAGCACGTGGCGACATGTTATTGACGTCCGGATGTAGAGCTACGTTAGGTACCCGGACCTAATAATTATTCCTGTTCATACTTGAAGTTGTGTTATATGTTAAAGCTTAAACATCGATCCAAGATTCTAATTTGAAAATGATAAACTTTTTTTTTCTGATTATTTGGTAAAGATCCTAATGGTGAAAATAACAAATACGATTTCCTAGAATATTTATGGCGGTAGAGAAAATACAATGTCTTAAGATTTTTTAAGTATCTCAAATACGCATAGATAAGTTCAAAGCATCACACAGAAATAGGATTTTTTTATAGACATAGATAGGATGTTGTGAGCTTGTTTTGCTTGTGTTTAACTCAAATTTAACCTGAATAGATTAAAGTTTTGAATTTTAAATTTCTTTTTTATAATAAAAAAATATTTGTAACTCACAACTAGGGATTATAATCTTTTTAATTTAAAAAAAAAAACATCTTAAACCTTTGTAAGATGATCAAAATATACTGACATTGCCCAAGGCTGCAAGATCCCACAGGCTCATAATTATAAGCATAGCTGCTCAAGGAACTGAACTAGGAGATAGAGATTTGTACTTTATTATTTATAAACATTACATATCTATACTTTCAATTGATGTGGAATTAAATGAATTGAACTTATCCCTTCTTAATATGGTCGCCAACCAACTTAAAGCCAAAGTCACTATATATTAAAACTGCAAAATGATGCAAGAAAATAAAATTAACAATATATATATATATATATATATAATTTACTTATTAATTTTAGGCTTAAAAAGAGCTAAACATGAATGAACAAAGGTTTGTTGGTGCGCAGTCATTTACAAATAGAGTTTAAATAACATGTTTGTGTTCGACTTGCTTACTTAACAAACAAAATGAACACAAGCTCTGTAGCGAGCCAAAAACCAGTTGTTTGGCAACCCTGATAATAAGAACCTTAAAGTGTAGAAGTTATGATCGAGCAATGAGTGTCAATTCACAGTTGAAGACAGATGTCGAAAGTCAGAAGATAGAGGATGGTCGGCTTGGTTTTTCTCTCAATAGGATGAGAGATTGAGAGAATGAATAATGGACATCAGTGTTTGGTGGATGTAAGATGTTGGCAAGCTTTGAGTGATGGTTGATGGGTTATGTTGAATGTTGAGCAATAATAGGTTCTTTATTTGGTTATTCTCCAGATAAGTAGGGGGATCAGACAACCAAGAAGATGAGCGTTGGATGTTTTTGTTAATATACGTCGAATATCAAAATTGGCGAGAAGGAAAATATAAGTGCAATTGAGGTTTTCTTCACTATCTTTTAGACCTTGTGCTATGCATAGCTAACATGCCTAATTATATGCATATAAGAAAAGTAAATTTTTCTTAGCAGATCAAGCTAGACATTGATAATAAGTTGTAATCTATAAGGAGGAAGATGACCTGAGGAGATGAATCAGCACCAGCAGAAATTGCAGACTGACTCTCTTTTAGCAAAATATTCCAGTTCCTTGATTTCCTCGCTTCACTGCACTTACAAATGAAAACCTGTATGTCCTTTGCATGCGAGATGTCATCATAGCTTGCTTCATTTTTCGCTAGTTTATAGTGTTTAGCTGCTCTTTCTGGTTCTCCCAATCTAAAAGTATTAAATAAAGTTCTTAGCTAGATATAGAGAAAAAACAACAACTTGAAAAGAACTCTTGCCATAGCAACGGAGGGAGTAAGAACCTAAAAGAATGAATAGGCATCTTACACAGCATGACACAACAATAAATATTTCAGGAAGAACACTTGCCACATGATAATCAAGGTATAAAAGGATGAACTAACAATTCTCTGATAAACCGACTAGAAAATTCAATGCTTTAGAACTTGCAAATTCTGAACACCTCAAGCATACCAGAACGAATGTTTGTCAGTATATCCAGATAAAAACTTGGCAAAAATTAATAGTATACGCAAAGCAAAGAGGTTGCTTGTTCTAAACCTGTAACACTAAGAAGCCAGCGAGCAACTAGCCAGTGATTAGAGGGAAACTGACAAAAAATATGAACAAAATCTTGTATGTTGAAGCACAGTATGCAAAAGCTCTTTTAAGTGCTACACCAGTTGTTATGGACAAACAAAAATGCCTTGATTTTTAACTAAAATACCTTGTTCTACGGCTTCGTTTGGGACGGCTTTATTGTTGCTTCTTAAATCAATTTTCTAGTTCAAAAAATTTAATTTTTATACTGAAAAGCAGTTTAAGAAGCAATAAGAAAGCAGTTGCAAATGAAGCCTAAGATAGACAATTTTAAGCGTTTAAGCTGCTTTCTTGTTCATGCTTTTTGTCCAACAAAAAACATCCCCTGTTTGTGTGCTATATCATTCCATACGCTTTTGGAGATATTATATTTTCAAATGTCCTAATTTTTCCTTATAAAGAAGGGCATTATTTTTATGTTGTGCCAGATGAATTAAAGCTAAAATTCTAAACAATCAAATCATATTGAAATTGAAATCTAAAGCATTGATAACATATGAACATATAGAAAATTCTTATGCATGTGTTTGTCTCTGTTGATCTCCATTTTTTCAACTATTTCCTAACAGAATCTATCCAAAATGACCTGAGATAGAGATTGGCAAGTCTCTGATGCGCTCTGAAATAATAAGGATCAATCCTAATAGCCTCTCTGCAGTCCTCCACGGCGTCAAGAAGGAGGCCGAGGCCCATGAGCGCCGCCGCCTTATTACTCCGGTAAGAAGCCTTCTCAGGATCAATCAAGATAGCCCTCTCGTAGAACGCAACGGCCTCCGCATATCTCCCGTTCTTGTACTCCTCGTTACCCATCTCCTTGAGCTCCTCCGGGTCGAGCCTTCTCGACAGCGCCCGGCAAATGGAGGACGACGCCTCAACCTTTCCTCCACCCCTCGCCTTCTCCATCTCCTTGGCCGTCTTCGGGAGGTATTCAAGAATGTTGCGGTTGGGCGTGACAGCACCAGGGGCGCGAAGATTTCCCAAATTACCGTAGAGCATAAAATTGCCGGAGGAGGCGCGGACGAGAGTGCTGCTCCCCTTGGTGCGTTGGTAGTCGTAGATCATGCTGTCTAGTTCAGAGGATATGCCGCCGTTTCCCGGCCTCGAAATGCCGCCGGGTGGTGTTAACTTGGTTTGGTCGGCGGTCGGGGGTTTGGAGTAGGGGAAGACGGCGGAAGTTTGGTTGGGAATGGGGCGCCGAGCATTGGAATTGTGGATGCTACCTTTGGAGACGGCTGATGGGGAGATGGGGTTAAGGGGAGAGACGGGGACCGGGTGGCGACGGAAGCAGGAGTTGTAAAGGACGAAAAGGCAGCAGCCTGTTGCCTTCTTGTCCTCGTCCTCCATTCCTCCGGCCACCGTTACGCTCCGCGTTGTGGATTGGGAGTTATGAGGGATTGGTGAAGAACGCAAGAAATGGGTTTGGATCTTGTTCGCCGAGCATTGAAAGGAAGGAAATTCTGGAAAAAAAAAACTTTTTTTTTTTTCAGATTGGGAGGTAGAAACTATTGATTTTGATTTAAAGCACTATTTTGAATGCAAGATGGGAATTTTGACATTGGGAATCAATGGACAGAAGGGATATCACGAGCCAGCGAGAGAGAGAGAGAGAGATGAGGGTGGCGGCAAAGGCGGAAGCGGGAGACAGAACAAACTCGCAAATATGGGAAACAGAGGGGTGGCATTTGCTGCCGTCCACCCATGAAAAAATTTTAAAAAAATTTAAGTTATGACACGCTTACCAACAAATTTTTTTTTTTAATTATCACACAAAATATCAGTCATATTAAAAAAAAAACTAATTATTTTTATAATTGCTCATAGGCAAAATTTTAAAAACGATCACCATTAAAGATTAAGTTAGAAGATATTAAAAAGTAATTAATTTCCCAAAAAAATAATTTAAGAAAATCTAAAACGCAATTTTTATTTTTATTTTTGCATTTTCTGGTCAAACACAATTATAATTTGTATTTTAACAGCAAACGCAAAAAGAAAATTGTGTTTCCTGTTAACCAATTTTTTAGGTATTAAATATAATTACTTAAGAAATATTAAATATAATTACTACTAAATTTTATGTAATAAAAATGAACTTTTAAATAGAAAGTGAAGTAATTTAACCTTGTTTTATATTAATTAGATTTAATAATGATTCATTTTAATATTTTGAAATAATTTTTTGCATTATTAATTAAGTTTGATATTAAATATGTTTAGTTTGATATTAATTATATCAAGATTGATATTAATTAAGTTTAAGATTAATTAAGCTTGGTATTAAATAAAATTGAATATATAAAGTTTGATATTAATGCTTTAATTGGGATAGCTTTCTCACGAATTCTTAAAGCAACTTTTTAGTAAAAAAATTTAATTTTTGTATTAAGTTGCTTTAAGAAGCAGTAAGAAAACAACCTCAAACAAAGTGTAAATACATCAAATTTTAAATTAATAAAGTTTAAAGATAAGTTTGATATTAAATGTAGCAAGTTTGATATTATTAAGTTCAATGAGAATCCAGTTTTCTAGCTGAACCAAACCAGCAACTTGAATGGTTCATAGTTGAGCTGGTTAAACTAGCTGATCTGATCCGGTTTTAAAAATATTGCGTATTTGTCCTCTAACCAGTGGCATGACTAGATGTCTCCAAAAAAGCCATAGCTTGGCCAAACGACTCTGATTAGGTCGGTCCTCTAATGATGGCTTGGCTAGACAGCTCCAAAAAGAACTCATAGCTTTGTCAAACAGCTTCACGTGGTAAACAATTATGACCACGGCCCTCTGAAGTAGTGTTTTAGTCGAACAATTCCACTGTATTACGATTACAGCTAAAAGCTCGTACATTCCTCAATGGCTAATTATCATCTACAAAGTAACACAGTACAAGCATCCTCACATCAGCTAGCTGAACACACTTTGATTAAGCTATTACTTTGTATGTATTATTAAAGTTCTTTCCCCCAACTAAGTAGTTATCATGATGCCTACTACTTTTACTCATCTTCTTTAAACCCTTATTAGATGAAAACTCCCCAAATTTTAGCATAATATCCAAAGAAAAGTTTGTAATTTCAAAATTCATGCTCTTTTGTTTATGTTAAGCATAATTGAGTACATCTCATTCTCACGGCAAATTATTAGGTCCGGTCATCGGATCTAAATTTATGTCTGAATTTGTGTGCTTTTCATGCTTTTGATATATTTTTGTAAAAAGTCAACTAATACGTAATTTTAATTGCATATTAACAGTTTTTTGTTGAGCATTCACAAGATAAAACAAAAGCGTAGCAAAAGCGCAACAAATATCTTACTCATTAAATATTTCATACTTTTTGCTTCGCTTTTGCTGCATTTTTCAAATACTCATAAAATGGCAGCAAAATGGCATAAAAAGGGTAGCAAAAGGACTACCTTTTTGCAAAAATACATTAAAAGTGCATGAAAAGCGCATGAAATTCGGACACAAATTTAGGTCCGGTGACCGGACCTAATAATTTGCCCATTCTGAGGCCCATGAATCATCCTTGGTAATATTTGATAAGCCAAAGCACAAAAAAATTTGCATTTCATAAGATAGAAAGAAATTAGCAAAGGGGGATCTCTGAGCATTACCAACGAGTACATCAGCTTCAAACTCTCTTGACCAATTTCACCATCACATCCAACCCATATATGTGTTGTGCCGCAGGATCTGATGGAAGAATTGTACTAAGCCCTATTATTCTCATCTTTAAATTTACAACATATTAGAACCAACTAATTGTAATAATAATCTGATTTTTTTAATGAAAAATCTGAATTTTAACGTCGTGCCTTTCCCAAAAAGAGAGAGAAGAGAGAGAACGTACTTCGGGACTTTTTCATTTGTTAATTTTGTTAAAAGATTTATTCTATTCGTTGTAAGTAAATAAAATCTTATTTTAGTTTTTAATGATATTGATTATTATTATATAGATTTTCTTGTATTGAACATAATTGATTATTTTCTGCTGCATTTTGATTGTGACATTTGCATAAGCAAGAAAACTGATTGTTAACACTATAAAATGAGTTGGCTGTTAAAATATAATACCTTATGCAGGATAATGCACTAACAAACTTTCTTTTAAAAATACTTTGTGGTATTATCCAGGTTGTTGCTTGTAATAGAGTAACGACTCTTTGTTAATTTAATAAAGCTTCTTATAATGATAATTAATCAATTATCATTACACTATTTCTTATTATATTTAATTAGTCAATTATCATTATAAATACACGACGTAATTTTTCCCTATTTATGATTTTAAAGATTTTGAGTTTTTAATATTTTTTCAATCAAATTTGTATTTCCGCTGTAAAAAAATTAGAATAATTTTGTATTAGTAAAACTTTTACGACAGAACTTTTTATATGTTATAGAGATCGATATTATAAACATTCTGAGTATTTTTTGAGATTCTTGTGTGATTTAAAAAATGCAGTGATTTTTGCATACTTAGAAATTTATTTTAACATTTAAAAATAGTGATTTTGTTCAACTAAAGCTTCAAAATATTGTTTTATGCGATATCTGTTAATTTGATTAAATTCTGAAAATGTAAATTTTTGCTCGGTATGATTTTTGTTATCATCTGTTAAGATATTTTTGACAATTTCTGAATTAAGCTCAATTATATTTTATTTGCTGCAATGTATTGAAAATGAATGTATATATGTGATTGTGATTATCATTATAGTATTGTGATAAGAACGTGTATATTTGATTGAGATTATTGTTGTAGTATTGTGATAATAATATGTGTGCAAAAGATAAATAAAGATTGGTTGACCTGTACAGAATGTTGAGCTGACGGACATTCCTTTAAATAATGTGACTTGATGTTATTCTTGATTGATTCACGTGATACTGATCGAGAGTTATAAGAAGATGATTATTATGACGATGGACAAAGAATGATGACTCTGTTTACTGAGCCAATGATTATTAATACTGATACAATACTAAAAAATATAGTAATAGTCAGAATTCTTACTTGTTTAATGTGATTAATGAAATAAATGTTACTGGGCATTGTTCATACTAATGTACATATTTATTATTAACAATGTTACTAATTTATTAATACAAAAGCATAATATATACATTGAACTCATGATATACATGATATAATGAGCATGTCATTAAAATATTGATTTAATAATGATATAGAATAATCAAATAGCATATGTAGACTCCTATATGATTTTACTATCTTGATATTATTTTGACAATCCTCACAAATAATTTGGTTTTATAAACTCCTATATGATTTTACAAACTCTTCTAAACCCACACATTTTTGTTGGGAGTGCCCATGAGTTTGGCTTCATGTCATTGACTTGATTTTTTTTTTAATTTTGATTAGATTTGAGAAAATTTTAGCTATGGTACCCCCATCTAAATGTGACTAAAAAAATTGTATAAATAAATGATCACTAAAAAAGACTCTAAATCTCACCTTAAGTTTATTTAAATGTACTTGAATTTGTCTTGAGATTAGTGAAACTCTTGAAATCATATGTAAATAATAATCTCAATACAAAATTGGTAGCATTTAATTTATTCTGATACAAATTATATATTATTTAAATTTTTTCAATATAAATTACATAAATTTTTTCAATAATCACAATACAAATTACATAATTTTTTTTTTCAATATATCCTGATATAATTTTACTCGGAATAAGTTTTTTAACTCATTGGATTTACTTTCGAGATTAATGGAATCCATTAAAATTTTATTTAGCTCATCTTAGAATAAATTTAACTATTTTCAAGAACATCCTAACTAAAACTTATATTATACATGACCCAAACTCAATGTCTCTTGATCGATAGCCAAAACTTCAAACTAACAGATTATATACATAGCTTTCTTCAAAGAAATAATAACATCATGTACAATCCAGCATTAATAGAAAAAAAAATATTACTCTTCTAAAAGATTACATGCAAAAGCAGAAATTTTTTCATTAGAAAAAAAAAATGCAACTAAAGCTTCGTTTGGGACAACTTTCAACTTTCATTCTGCTTTTTAAAGCAGCTCTCTAGTACCAAATTTTTTAATTTTGTACTAAAAAGCTGCTTTAAAAAGCAGTAAGAAAGCCATCCCGAACAAAGCCTAAGGCTTCGTTAGGGACGACTTTCTTACTGCTTTTTAAAGTTGCTTTAAGAAGCAGTTAAAAAGCGGTCCCAAACGAAGCCCAAATCACCCCTAAGAACAGTATTTTCCCCTATTGAAATGGCCTGTATCACTAACTATTCATTGATACGTATCTGATGGGGTAAAGCCACCATCGCCTTCTTCCTAAAGAGAGCTCCATTTGACAAGCAAAGAACCTATCCAAATCCAAGTCAACATGTAGTAAAACTCACATAAAAAAGAACAAACCTGGCGAAGGAACAGAACTTCAGAGAGAGCTGCAAGCTTTATCCTTATTTTTGATGATTTTGAATGTTCAAGACGGGAAATAATAGCCATACAGCTACGAAATCATTCTGTAATGGCTGTACAGGAGTCGGAACTGGGAGCAGAAGAAATGTTATCTCCATGATGGGGCAGATAGGAATATGCAAGTAGAGAAGCTCCAGCAGTGATGGACAAGCCAACACAGGTCCAGATCCACTTTCGCATTCTCTGCCTCCTCAGCCGTCGCTTACGAGCCTGATCTGCACATTCCTCACAAACATTAGAAAGAGTGACAAAATAGAAGGTGACCACCTAAATCTGGTCAACTAGAACAATATTTGTAGGCATAAAGACAAAGGTGGCCTTAATATTAAAAACATGTGTAATGAATATTTCTATAACAAATAAATGAATTGGGAAATCAATATAAACCAAGAAATATTTTTTTTATAAGAAACATAAAGATAAGCATTTTAGCATATGTCCCCTTCGATCTCCAAGACTAGCTACATTTCCCGCTGTTCAAACTTTATTTGAGTTAGCAAAACTATTCATTTTCATGATAAAGTTTCAACTTTTGGAAGGGAAAATGGATTACTGACCGAGTTTCTTGTCATTCAATGCAATGATCTTTACACTTTTGCGAAGAATAATAATAATTTTGTTACTTCATATTTTAATCAAGAAGTCGATTAGCAAAAATTTTGGAAAGGGATTCTTCCATCATGTAATGAAAAAGGAACTTCATTACTCTCTTAACAGATGAATTAATCTTAACAACCCATAACATCCATTTTTGGCTTCTTTCATCCGATGGTACATCCTTGGCGAACACTTCCTATTCATTGTTCATAATCCCCGAGAATCTTGAATTTGGAGATCTATTGTTTCTTTTAAAATTGCTATTCTAGGTTAGATATTCTATCCGAGGAAAAGAAGACCATCTCAATCGGTGAGAATGTTTATTTGGGGAGAGAAAAAGAAGACTATCTCACTGGTGAAGCTCCGCAAACCAATCCTCTCTACAAAAAATTAAAAGCAGAGAATCATCAGATTATGTCTTGGCTCATCAATTCCATGAATGCAAAATCGTTGAGAACTTTCTTCTTTATGAGACGGCCCAAGAAATATGGTAGGCCGTTAAAAAAACCTACTCCAGTTCCGACAACACTTCCGAGCTATTCACAATTGAAACCATTCTTCACGACTACCGACAAGAGGACTTGAAGATAACTCAATATTTTAATACTCTAACCCGTTATTCACAACTATTAGATATGTTTGAACATAATCAATGGATATGCCCCGAAGATCACGCACTTCACCGGAAGATTTTTTGAGACAAAAAGAATATTCAAATTCTTGATGGGTTAACAAGAACTTGGACGACGTTAGAGGACGGATCATGAGAACCAAACATCTTCCAAATCTCCGGAAGGCTTTTTCTGAGACAAAAGTATCAAAATATCTAGGGGGAAGCCATTCTTGCTGCTGCATATTTAATAAATAGGTTACCTACTCGGGTACTAAAATTTGAAACACCTAGACAAACTCTACTCAAAGCCTATCCTCATGCTCGGTTCATATCATCAAACCTTCCGCCTAAAATTTTTTGGTGCTATGCATTTGTTCATATCTATCCACAAGATAGAAGCAAGCTCGACCCAAGATTAAAAAAAAATATTTCTTTATTAGCTATTCCCCAACAAAAATAAGTTACAAATGTTTTTGCCCTATTTCCAGGAAAGTATTTAAAACCATGAATGTCGCTGATAGGAAATATTTGAGTTTGCAAGTAATCCTATCGGATCTACTTTAGTTTGCAAGCAAACCTTACAATAATCAATATATTTTCCTAGAATTTATATATATATATATAATTCCAAGTAATAGAAGATAATTTGAATTTCTCTCTAACCAATTTCATCAATTATAATATTTTTCTTATGTCTTGGCGTTCCTTTGCTTAACATTGTATTCTTATCAGTAATATCTCAAGGTTTACATAGCTTTTCATTAAAAAATTGCAGGAAGAAAGGAAAACAGTAAAAATAGCTTCTTCTGAATCATACCAGAGGTTTAAAAAGATAAAATTAAATTAAATTAAACCAATTTGTGGTGGAAGATAAATATTGTAGCAACAGCTAAAGGAACTTACCAACGGCTTCCAGATTCCTCTGTGACATTTCACGGTTCATAGCTTCATAATACATCATACGATCACGTAGGCGAGATATTTCATGATTCTTGTTCACAATAATTTCCGTGAAAGCTTCTTCACCTTCACCTTTTGCCAGGTCTGTTTCAAGAGCTTCAGATACATGTTTTAAAACAACAAACTCTTGGCAAATTTCTGTAGGATCAATCTCATTTTTTAGATTTGCAAGATTCAGTGATTCCCGCGAAGATGATCTCGACTGTGAGAGACATTTCAGTAGCTTTTCAAACTGCATATTCAGATAAAGAAAATTTTCTTCTGCGATTTTTCTCTTACTGGACTCCTCAATTAGGCTGAGTTTTAGAAGGCGCAGCTCATTTTCAGTACCTCTCTTTACCGAAGGGGATGAATATGACGAAGAACCATCGGAGAAGAAATCTGCACAACTCCACTCCATTATTCTCTAAAAATCGCTTAACATTCTAAATTCTTTACCAATGCCTATCAATAATAACTAAGCAAATGCTTTTGTAGTTAGATACTACTAAGAATGCAAGCTCATGCGCAATCATGACTCCAACGATCATAATTAGAATATTAATGTTCCTTGTTGTCCAATAAGATCATGGATTTAAGTAGCATTTAAAGGTAGGTACACAAGAAATGATAATGGTTGGATTGCAGTATCCTACAGACTCGAGGAAGCACCTAAACATTATTTAAGTATTTTAAATGACAGCTAATTTTATCAACATGACAGCAGTTTCATACAATCCGCCGGCAATTCCTTTGTTTACCTTAATATTAACCAAAGTATATACTTGAAAGGTATGTGACAAACACACAAATGAAATCAAAGTCAGAAGTGGCAAGTTATCCAAATTTATGGGAGATTTCCGTAAATGATAAGAGCATTTAATAAAGTACGTCAACTGTCCAAATGAAAAACAAAGAGTAAAAATATTAAATATCACAGCTAGGAAAAGGTACCACAAAGATCTTCACTATCACGAATCACTCCATGAAACAATACAATATGCAAACAACAATGAAAGATGAACAAAATAGTCAAAAACCTCAATTATCAAAAGAAGTTACAGTAAATTATGTCAATAAAAAAACTGTAATGCCTTGTGAAAGATGTAATTAATATAAGAGCTTGCATCAAATTAGGTTGGTCATCTATAGTACATCTCGCCAAACCTTTCTTGTGATAGAATAGGCAGTTTTGCATCGTTGCAGAAGTTTATGCTTTTTTATGTCTCAAGGAAGTAGATCAAAGGACATCCGGATATCTAGCATATACATGTGCAGACAGATATAGTTTTCTTACTGCTTTGGATAAGCACCCATAGAATTCATTTACTCCAAAGAAAGAAAAATAAACACCATAGAACTTTAACAGAGCTGGAAAATGGGCAAGAATGCATAATAAAAATACAATAATGATACAGTCGACCCTTCACAAATCCAGTCAAAGTCAAAGTCAACTGGGTTCACATGAAATTGATCCAGCTCAAGACAGGCTCGCCAAAGCTTCCAATGAACTCACCGTGGCCAACTCCCTCTAGTCAGCATGGAAACTCTCTCAGGTCAGGCTGGCAACTTCCCGAGGTTTTCAATTATTATACACATACGTAGTCGGACTATATCATTATTTTTGTAGTCATATATGTAGCCAATCTTATGACATCCCAAGCCCTTGCCTGAACATATAAATGGTCTCAGGTGGAGTTCAAGTTACATAATATCTTGAATTCAAGCCTATTTAAGGAAGTCCAAAGCTCCATTGTCTGGAATTCTTTCTCTCTCCTTTTCTTTACGTTCTCCACATCGTGCTCTTAGTAAAATTTGGGTGTGCTTCACATATATTTTTAGTTCCAACAATAACAAGATATAATTAGAGCAACTAACAAATGCAAATAAAACATATACAAGGAGTGTCAATTAGAACTAGAATTAGGCACCATATCATCTCCATATTCACAAGTAAAAACTCCCTCACTGGTGGCTTCTCCGCCTTTTTTCCCATCCATCATATCCTAAATCGTTGCTAGATATGAACCAAAGCACAATAAACTAAATAGTTGCCAGATATGACTCCTAGAACTCAAAATAATTCAAAAATTCCAGAAACAAATAGCAGTCATGGCTAGCAGTTTTAAGCCAAGCCAAAGGATACGAATCCTCAAAGTTGCCACATAACAAACAAACTAAATAGGAAGACATTAACGCCTAAAAAGCCTAAAACATAGCAGATTCCTAAACATATCTTACAGTTACCACGTATTTCAGAAATATGGATAGGTTTTACCAATTATTATAATTTGCCCCCAAATAATGTGATCTCATTCAGAGATTTTAAAACGTACACTTCCTTGTTATGTGTGTTGTTATCATATTTGTTATAGAGTTAGTTGCGTGTTATAAATTGACAGCCATGCCTTCCACATTTATAAAGCTTCTAAAATCATATTGACAAGACAAATGATTTGTATTTAGTTTTACCTTATTAATTGTTGCATATACTTGCGTCTTGAAAGTAAGAATGTTATGCATAACCTATTTTAAATTTACACAATCTTGGTTAATGTGACATAAATCTTGTTCATGCAAAACAAACTATATTAATATGGATAACCTTTGATCACACCCCCAGTAAACACAACAAACTTTGAGGTTTGAGACAACAGAATAATCAGAATGATCAATAGAATTAGATTCCACACATAACAGACTAGTCAACCTAAACTCTAAATGCATTAAAAAAAAATTCAGCGCACAACATAGACCGTTACAATATACAAGTGTTTATTATCTTAACTCTAAAAATATTATTCAGAACAAACCAAGCTACATACTATTTCTTGGAACATTTAAATAAAAAATAACATGGACACAATTCAAGACTTTGCCGAGGATGAAAATCACAAAATGTAGACGAAATTTTCAGCAGTAGAAGAGCATACAACTTTATAATGTCTGCATTACCTATTTAATAAAAATTAAATACGTCTCAAATTTGGGGTAATTGAGAGAAAATATAAGCTCCGCAGAAGCTGTTCGTGTCCATACTAAAAAGAAACACGACGAGACAATCAATATTCTCAACACAATATCCTAGGAGCTTGGAATGATGAAATAAAGCAAATTTAGAAAAAAAGGGTCGCAAAAGACTTTACCCTCAGCAGTATCATAATACTCGTCCTGGCTCCGTGGCTGGTTTCCCGAGCAACCACATCGCAAGCTATCTCCATCTTCAACATCGCTCCCGCTGGGACCAGCATTCGCAGAATCCTGCGGATCAAGGAAATCATCATTTACCTCCTCAACGATTTCTGCATCTCCAACCCATCCAACAAACTTCTTCTTCTCCTCCTCCTCTACCTTCTCCTTCCCTTTTCCCAAAATCCCAGACAAAGCAATCGCATCTCCTCCCTTCAAGACATCCGCCTCCAACTTGTCTTCAAACCCCTCCGCCCGGCTTGGAGCCGCTTTTCGGGATCCCCCGTCACGGCGTTTGTGGTTAACGACATAGATGTTCGGGGAAGAGGCGATCGAGGAAACATCCGGGATCGGCCCAGGGTCCGGCGTTGCATAGAGTGCCGGAGAGTAAAAATACCGCTGCGCCGAAGGCCCCGCCGCTACCTCCGAAGCCGGTAATTCCGCAGCCGTCTCGCGGCTCTCGGATGGTGAGGGTTTCTTGGCGAGGGATTCTTTCCTGTTGTATTGGAACAAACCATCTATGGCCAAGGCGGTGGTCATGGTCGGCATCCTACTCCTGCCTAATCTCTCAGTTCTTCTCCAAAAGTATTTCCGGCAGCTATCCTTCAGCCGGACAACCAAGCTTCGCCGTCGGAAAATTCAGCGGTGGCGGCGGAGCAAGCACGCATTCTCCTTGCTCCTCGTTCCTTGCGCGTTAGGACATGTAAACGTTTGGGCTAAATTTGTTTTGCGAACGAAGAGGCGGACGATTTATTTAGGTGCCGTTCACTGGCGAGACGTGGAACCCTAAAAGCAAGCGATTCGTTTGTACCGAAGCTCCGCATGCGAGCTATGCACAAGCATCGCACATTGTAGAGTAGAACAATTCCAACCATCTATGACAGAATTATGGGTACAAGATTTTGGTTTCGTATGCGGATAGGCAGATGGAAAGATTTCTATGCGGGCTGTTTGGTCGATGGAATTCCGAAAATGCCTCCGCGCGGGTCAAGGTGTCCGTGAAGATTTTAAAAAAGGGATTCTGAATCTCGGATACTCCTGCGGGTCCCAGGTAGACCCAACTGGCTAGATACCGGGTTCGCGGGTCGGATGGAACAGGTTAATCGAAACATGTGAACCCACAATAAACAGCTAATATTTTATAATAATATTTGTGATAATCTCACACAGATATAATTATAACTCATAGAAAAAAATATGATTTTTATTAAAAAAAAAAATTAAGAATAAGAAAATAATATAAAACGATTACTCAACTCTTGAGATGTTGGAATTGTCATTCAGAGGCAATCGGTCTCTTGCTCACTCATTCTTTGTACTAAATGTGAGACTAGCAATCAAGAAGATGGATATTGACCTAAATGGTGATGATAATATGAGTTGCGCGATAATGGGCGTCACCATATTGGCATTGCTCTTATTTGGGAGAAATTATTCTGTGCGGACACTGGACCATTTGGAGGTGAAACAGAATGTGCCACATCACTCGATACACAACAAACGGGTGATGTGGAGCGTTCTGATTAGCCTCCGGTCGGCGTCCGTATCCTCACAGAATAATTTCACCCTTTTTGGTATCGACAAATATCCGCATAAGATTTGATGATGTGCATTAGTAATATTTATAACACTGGGCATTGAAATTTGTGTTAATATGAGTGTGTAGCATTGTTTGTACTGACGAACCTCAAGATTTTATGTGGCACCAATTTTAAAATAAAGTCTAAGCTTAAGCTTCATCTCAAATACCACCTCTTAGTACACTCCTTATGTAAAAAAAAAAAGTGTAGGCCTATTTACAATTTTTTAGAGTGCCACTAATCATAATTATAATTAAAATTCAAAACATGTTAACAGATGTCTTGTATTGATCTCCTCAATTATTGTTTGATCTTTCAACATTTTGTGCCCTAATGATATCAAAATTAAATGATCTTATGCTCGTTGAATTCATATTATTGAGATAAACATATAATATTTGAAAATCATTTAAACACTCAAATTATGTCCCGAAGTATCTAACTATGCTTCAAATACTTGATTTGGGCTCGATCAGGGTTGGATCAAATCAATTTTGATGTCAATGAATTGGTCTCGTTGAAATATTCTTCTAGACTACACTTTGTCAAAATCAGAATTCGGATGGTGATTAATTTAATTATGAAAATTTTCAATTCAAATATGCATCGAGCTTATCAAAATTGTTTGATAAATTCAAATATTGATAAATTTTTAAGGGCATAAAAATATTCGAATTTGGACGTTGAGCTTATTACTTATTTACTTGGGATGATATTGACTAAAACAGCAGAGAAAGAATTGTTCGATTTTTTTTTAATAACCTATTTAAAAAATAAAAAAATATGGCCACACGTGTTGGGTCAAGTCATTTCTTGGCTTGCAATCCAAGCACGCCGTTTGTACTTCGGAAGTCGGTGCTATTTCGTCATCAATGAGCTTTATAGCTACTTGCTTAGAAAAATATTTTATTTTTTGTTTTTATTTTTAATTCTAAGTGATTTTCACTGCAAATTCATATGAAAATTAATTAAATTAGTTATTTTGAATTTATTATTTTCTTAACTCAATTTAGATTTGTGTTTAAGCTACATCTAATTTCACAATTAGTTATGCTAATTATATACACATAATAAGGCTGCTTTTATGACAGCTTTTGATCATTATTTTTTCGTTGCTTTAAAAAAAATTATACTTAAAAGCCGCTTTAGAAAGCATTAAGAAAACTATCTCATATGAAACCTAAATTACTCTTACTCTAATATTTTATTGAGTTAGAATCTTCATATAAGTTTTGGATGCCTCAATTGAGTTAATTGCTATGAGCTTCTTTTGCTCTTTAGTAGCTTCACTTGAGCTTGTTTAACAAGTCAATGCCTTTGGCATACCATTAGATAGCTATAATAATTTAATTATTGTATCAAAATACTTTAGTAGCCTTTATAGGGCTTATGAGGCTAGATGAAAAACATTCATAACGATAGAATATTCAGCTTGATCGAATCTAATAGGGTACATACTTATCTGGTCGAAAGAATAGTTAATTGCATTTAATATTGAAAATAATATATTAGGATTATCAAATAGGATTTTGTTTTAGCTACATGGTAGTCAAGTGTTAAACCCAATTTTATCCGTGTGTGACATTAGGATCTTATTGGCACGACTGACTAATAGTGAGAAAGAAAAAGAGGGAGAAAAGAGCCTACAGAAGTCGGAATCTAAAGACAATGTTTTCGTATGTTTTGTCTCTTATGTTCATAAACTAAAGAAAGAAAATATATTGTAAGCGGCATGATACTAGTTTTCGATTGTTTGATTTCGGCGTAAGGTATGGGTGTATAGATTGAACACTTATTATTATTATTATTATTTTTTACCTCTTTCATTATACATCATAAATTTTGGATATCTAAGATTTAAAAGAAATTTAAATCAAACTATCATTATGAAAATTGTGAGAAGAATACCTTAGAGTGTCTGTAACAGATATTTTCTTTCTTTATTTTAACATTATATATTTATGGTGTGTCTATTATAATATGTTAAGACATATTGACTATACTGACGAATTTTTTGGGCGTGGGCTCGTTGCTATTTGGTTTCTTGGGCCAATACGGGCTTTGATTGTATTCTCCTGATGAGTGGCAATTAATTAGTTATTTGGGCCATAAGTTGGGCCGTGAACCGTTGCTGGGTCATGGAGGTTTCTACAGTAGAAGGGTTGTTCTATTCCTGTAATTATGCATTATGGTTGATTGTTGTTGTGTTACTTTCATGCTTCACATGCATATGGAGGATTTCATGGGATGGAATCAGCTGTGGTACCTATCCGCTTTTCAGTTTTAGGCTTCGTTTGGGACGGCTTTTTTACTGATTATTGAACTAAATTTCTAGTATAAAATTAAAATTTTTGTACTACAAAGCTGCTTCAAGTAGCAGTAAAAAAGTCATCCCAAACGAAGCCTTAGCCATTATTGTTTGTGACGGCTTTTTTACTGATTCTTGAAGTAGATTTCTAGTATAAAATTAAAATTTTTGTACTACAAAGCTGCTTCAAGTAGCAGTAAAAAAGTCATCCCAAACGAAACCTTAGCCATTATTTTTAAGCTGCTTACAAAGAAAAAATTTGTATGTAAGTGTTAATTAGATGTAGATATTTCAAATGTAGCTACAAAAGTTTGAGTAAGTTAACTTTTTATAGCATCATAAGGCATGTATTAGTTTTTGGTTAGTACTTCTAGATGGAAGGGGTCGGTCATTAAAAGGAATGAATGTAGATGGCATCATCCAGAGCTACGACAATACTTCTCATGATGAACAAGCAGACACCAATGATGTTAGCACTAACATGGACGCTCATCATCGAGATTAATGGCGAGAATTGTCGTTGATGTCACCTTTGAGACTATCTTTTGCCAATAATACAGACACTTGGTGTTGCCCTCCATCACCAACAAAGCTGACTTTCATTGTCGTCACCGACGAATCTGAAGGAGAAAATTCAGAGCTATGCTTACTAATGTCAATGCTCGTTGTCACCAATAAATCAAACACCAATGACATCAACACTAACGCTAACACACGTCATCGACACCAATGCTGATACCCGTCATCGACAGTATGCTAACATCTATTGTCACCAACAATGCTTACATCTTCCGCTAACCTCCATGACGCATTAAGTTGACTCCCGTGCTAACACCTGTTGTCATCAACAATACTTCTAGTGAACGAGCATGACCAGCTGTCCAGTTTTCTTCATTTTTCTTCCTTGGCTTCTATTCAATAATAAGTTTTTTATTTCATATTCTTTCCCCTAATGATTTTTTATTTGTTTGGGACAATTTTCTTACTACTTTCTACAATAAAATTCTAGTACAATTTTTTTTCTTAAATAGTGAAAAAAAGGGGTCAAAAGCTGTCCCAAACGATGTATTAATGAGCAAGCATAAGGAAGCTATATGTTTGTCAACCACGGCTTGTCATATTTAGCTGGATTTCCCTGTAATAAAAATAGCAGTATTTCTGGAACATTGAAGATTATATATATATATATATATGACTTTCATAAGATACTTCAAGACTAAGAAAAGAAATTAGATATCCTTTTCATATTCTTGCCCTAATAATTTTTCTGCAGAGTACATTCATCCAATTGTCAAATCCAAAGCTGAATGCTTTCATGGTTGCAAGACTATTAAATTATTAGGCTTCATTTATGTTAATTTTCTTACTGCTTTTTAATACAGCTTTATAGCACAAAAATTTCTAGTTCAAGAATTTTTTTAACTAAAAAACTGCTTCAAAAAACAATAAGAAAGTCGTTCCAAAAAAAGCCTGAATCTCTTTGCACTTTGGCGCTCTTTGATTGCAAATATAACGAAATTCTCTTAAATTTAAATTCTATGTATTAATTTTAAATTCTATGTATTTGAAATACATTGCGGTATTTATTTACTTGTAAATTAATTTTACATGAATATGTTTTGTGCTTACGAAATTTGTAAATAAAAATTTTTTGGTTTACGATGGCGTTGGCAGTGGAAGGTGGGTGATGGCACTGGCTGTGGGTGCAGGTGACGACTAGCGATGACACCAGTGACTGTGTGGAGGCAGGCGAAGCTTCACACACTAATCGTATTTGAAATTCACCCAAATCCAATGAGTTCTACATACGCTACATTTGTTTTTCTTCCAACAAAGCACCTAAAAATTTAAAATATTTAGGGTTTAGCTCTTAATAACCAAACTAGTTAATATGTAGCTTTCAATTTAGATATTATAATATTAAGAAGTCTGCCGCTCTATCGTATGGCTTAAAAATTGAGAGTTTCTTCATAGTTCATTTATCTGCTCATCAATTTCAAAAAAAAAAAAAAAAGGTAAATTTCTATATTATATAAATTTAAATAACATAAATTTTACAAATAAATACATATTTTACTTTTAGAAAATAATTATAAATAAATATTATCCCTCCCATGAAGCAAATGGGTATTTCATGTGGGTGTGATGGTGCACGTTCTACCTATTGTTATTATGTTATATATGTTATTATAAATAAATATTATCCCAATTATTTATGAATTATAATCATTAAAGGTGGCGTTGAGCATTCCAAGGCGTTGAAGCCTTTGGATAATGCGTGAAAGAAACAATTTATTCTATTCCCTTACTTCACCTACTATACTACACCTTCTTCTTCAAACCATTATTGTAATCATCTTATTAAACTAAGCTTACACTTTTAATATTCTTGTCAAATTTGCAATTTAATCTTTGGGTCATACATAACATAAAATCTAAAGGTGTTACTATTTGATATGGCTTGAAAATCTGACTCAAACCCTTACGGAAATTCCGAGTTTGAATCAACCCATTTGAAATATTGGTCGGATTTGAGTTTCAAATCTTGATCAGATTGCGAATTTGAGTAGAATTCAAGTCAACTTAAAACCTGAAATCAATCCGAAAGCAATATGCCAACTCGCATCCATCCTTCATCACACACATGCGCTTGCCTTCCTCCTCGTTGCTCGTCGCACTCGCTGTCACCCGCACACTCTTGCCCGCACATTGCTTGTGCTCGCCCGAACTATTTAACACGCACGCTCTCATGCTATCCTCAATCAAACGCCTGCGGCCCCACACTCGGTCACCCTCGCTTGGGTCAGCGAGTTGTCTGGCTGATCAAATTTGAACTGGATCGGATTCAGGTCTGATTCTATGACCGGTTTCCTTAATTGGGTCAAGTTCGAGTCAAGATATTTGATGGAGGATTATTTTCAAATTTGCCTCAACCTGACCCAAAAAATCATTTTAACACCCCAAATAAAATATTTCATTGAGGTAGGTTGAAAGTTTTTAATTGGCTTGAATGGACAAAAAACAGAAATGTCCCGTTTATTAGAGTGAGAGATAGCATATATTTTTTTATACACATTGTAGAAGTTTTTTACATTCCATGAAACTATTTTTCATTCTATGAATTACATATGATGATAAATTATAATTGTTGCGGGCTAGAAAATACGCGGCGATAGAGGTTTAATTCTGTGTCTTAGCGTTGAACGGATAACTAGCAGGTGGCCTAAAAAAAAGAGAGAAGATAAAAAGAGAGTCGACTCCTCTTTCTCTTTTCCTTCTTTTTTTACTCCATTCAAATCCTTCTCCCTCCATTCTCACCGCCGCCTCCTCTTCTCTTATACGGTTCCGCTTCCCTTCCTTTTCATATCCTCCTAATCTCTTCCCTTGACCTTCCTCTCCCATCGCCGGCGATGGCGTCGCCGACGTCATCGGCGTTGAAACTAGAGTGGGGTTTCCCTGAACACTACATAGAAAAACGCCAGCTTTTCCTTCGCAGCTACCACTTCTCTCGAAAACGCGATACCGCCGCCGAGCGGCTCCGTAGCTCCACCGTGCGCGTCGGCCGACTCATCTGCTTCCGCCTGCGTGCTGCCCGCCGCCTGCCGCATCTGCTCTGGGCTGGGCTACGCGCAGCCTTATACGGCCGCCGCCGCCGCCACCGCCGTTTTTCCCTTCTCCGGCCCACCACCGCCGGTTTCTGCTCATGGTAGGGGGCAGCTAGACGTCCGAATCATCTGCTGCTATTAGGCTTATTTCTTTTTACCTTAATATTGTTATCTTTGTTTCTCGGTGATTTGGTTGAACTGAAAGCTTTGATGCTTGGTATAATTAGAGGGAGGGTTTGATCTTTTGCTTTGTAAAAATATTCTGAATTTGAGCTTCTTATAATCTGATGGAGAGTTCAGGCTGTGCTCATTTTCAACCTTTTTTTTTTCTTTCCATTATGGCTGCGTCATATTTCAGAAAATTATGGTTGATTTACCTCAGGATAATTGATTTATTATGTGGATGCATAATGAAAACCTAAGAGCAAGGTTCCGTTATGGACGATTTTTTACTATTTTTAAAGCAGCTTTCTAGTAAGAAATTTCTTAGTTGCTTTAGAAATCATTAAGAAAATTGTCCTAAAAGAAACCTAAATCATTGGGCTTAGATGGTTTGGCATCGGCAGCATGCCATTCGTGATTCTTTTCTATTTTTGGTTGAAGATTGCGGATCATCATTTGGAACGGCTTTCTTATGACTTATTAAAGTAAAATTTTTAGTAAAAATTAAATTTTTTTATTAAAAAATTATTTTAAAAAATAATAAAAAAGCCGTCATTAGTCACCTCTTTTTTGAGTGTGAATTCTCTTTTCACATTATCTCTAAGATCTTGCACAGTACTTCTTAATATCTGTTAAGGTCTAATATCTACCAAATGCTGGAATACATTGAGGGCTGCGATCATTTACAGGAGGATGTGATTAATGGTTACCATTTGCTGCTCTCTTTGCCTCTATTTACTACATTTTGAAGGAATGTTTGGGCAAAACATTTGAGCCCTTTTTTGCTGTTTTCTCCATCCCTTTTGTTCTCACATTTTCTGCTTATTTTTACTCTGTTTTGAGTTCTAACTGAGCCCTATAACTTGGTAATCTTCTTATATTGTAATGAGATGTCCAAAATTAGACCTTTATGATATTAGTACCACTTCTGCTTTAAAGCTAGGTGGGTTTCTATACCTAACATAAAATTTTTCTATTTAATGATATAATTTTTTTTTCAATTTTAAATAAAATAATAATATATATAATTTTGTTAGATATTATTAATATACATCCTAAATATTTTAAAAAATAGATATAAGAATTAAATGTTACTCTTTAATACATGATGCATGCATGAGCTCTGCAATTAATGAGGAAACGTAAGGGGATGTGCGAGTTAAAAGAGGCTGTGGACGGATTTTAATGCTTGGTCGGACCAACGTCACCAATCGTCAAAGTCTTAAAGTTCTATTTTGACTAATGCTTTACTCATATCTAAACTCACCAACCTTTTTCTTTTTAAATATTAAAAATTATACTCCTCAGAAATACCTTTGCTCTCATAATGATCCGGAGTTGAATCAGAGTGCGCGATGTTACATCACCTGATACACGGTGGGCATATAACTGCGGTACACAACAAAAAGAAGATATAACACGTTCTGATTCGCCTCCGGACGATCTGATATCCGCAAGATTATGAAGGAAGCATAATGAGCAGCTATAGCAACTGTGTTGTGAAGAAGGCCATTTATGAATTTTCTTTTCATTGTAAGTGCACAGAAGATGCTGCAGTCTGCTAAAGCCTATAACACTGAGCTCTGCAAATGATATGCTTTTGGTACATCGTGCAAGGGATGCCCTTTCTTATTTCTTTCGATGATCCTCTTGGCCAAAGCAACCTGCTTGCCTACCACAAACACAAATGCCTTGCCTCTTCCCATAGCTCCTCGAGCTGTCCTTCCGACACGTCGGACATACTCGCTCGGGTCGCGAGGAAGGTCGAATAGTATGACATGATCCACATTTGTAAAGTCAATGCCTCTTGATGCCCTGTTACAAGGTTCAGTAAAAAGAAAATCAATGCCCTGCTGAAAATTTTATGAAAACCTTCTTTGTTTAGATGGCAGTGTTAAAGAGGTTGATTCAGGAACCAGGAAAGTTGCCTATAGTAGAATATTAATTACCTGTCGGTGCAGATGAGAAACATTGATTCCTTTGATTCAGGTTTGAGGAATTCCACCAAGTTTGACAGCCTGAGTTCTTGAGCCAAGGCAGCATGGAAGGGCAAAATCTTCGAGTGAATACCTTGTCTATCAGAGCGTTTCAATGCATTCTCAACCTTCCTGCATGTTTCAATCTGCAATTTGATAACAATTAGCAGAGTTTAATTATGAGAAATTTGAAAATTATAATTTTCCCAGTGCATTAATATGTTGGTGATGCATTGCTAACATTACAGGATGAGTTACAGTTCCCCTATGTGCACATTAAGCAAGAGATGTATATCCAGAAAAACAAGGAAAAAGATGTAGGACAAACTTTGTTGCAGAATACAATAGTTTTTGGAACAGGAGATTCTTCCGCAAGCTGCAGCAAAGCAGTTTTCTTGTTCAGGAAAGCCGTCTCTGGATTCTTTTCCTCTCCCTCAATCCCACTGCAGTCCAGAAGAACCTGCATGCAACACAATTAGCATATATCACATAAAAAACTTCGGCGTAAGATTTTAATAATTAATTTGTTTCATAGATGTCACATTTTCCTAAAGAGCTACAACGAAGCAATAGAGGCAAAATCCTCCATAAAATTTAGAGTCGGCCATCCAAAATCCAAGCGCAAAAAAATAACCTCGTCTAGCCTAGAGCTTGTACGATGCATCCCAGGCCCCATCACTGCTTCAGTGTCTGGAAAGATTTCGATTAATTTGTGGTAGATGTCCACAGGAAGTGTTGCAGTGACAAAGAGATACTGCACCGACAATGGTGCAGATCTGATGAAACTTTGGAGCACTTGTTCAAAGTCTTCATCACCGAACAAGATGTCAACTTCATCTAGAACAACACTGAATACACAGAAGGTTAGATTCATTTACTGATTTATTTATAAGAATATACTTCATAGGACTAAACAGTCGCTGTCATCAATTCAAAATTAAGGTTTCGTTTGGGACAACTTTTTTATTTCTTCTTAAAAGAGCTTTATAGTTTAAAAATTAAAATTTTTACACTTAAAAGTCGTTTTAAGAAACAGTAAGAAAGCCGTCCCAAACGAAACCTGTCCCAAACGAAGCCTTAGACAGGAGGATAAATATTGACTATATGCCTTACCACTTCAGATTGTTTAACTGAATGTGGCCTTCTTGCAATAAGCACATAAAGCGGCCAGCTGTTGCTATGAGGACATCTACTTCTTGATGTAGGGCTTCTAATTGGGTTTTTTGTCGAAATCCCCCGGTCGCAACCACAGACCTAAATGGAACACCAGATTTTGCCATTGAACGGCAATTTTGAAGAACCTAAATGCACGGAATGATTAGATAATATAGGTTTATTTCCACTTACATTGTGCATTATAAATTAAATATACGTTTCTAATCACTTGACTGATTGGGTACCTAATTACAATGTCAGAGAACAACCTGAGAAGCTAATTCAGCCGTTGGTGACAAAATCACAACTCGAGGTCTCCTTGATGAAGATTTACCTAGCCCTGAAAGTTCTTCTTCTCTTAGGCGCTGCACTACTGGAGCAAGGTATGCCAATGTTTTCCCTGATCCACTTTGATCTGCAATGATGCAACTCTTACCTTCTAAAACAGGAATATAAGCCATGGCCTACACAACGATGATGGAAGTCAAATATGCAGTATCAAAGGAGTCATTCTCGTTCAAACAGAAGAAACCAAGGGTCACCTGAATATTTGAAGGGCGGATGATAGACTGTTTTCCGAGGGATTCAATCATAAAATCACTGCAACCCACATCTCTGAAGCTCTTCATACTAAAGAATCCACTATCATGAGGCAACTTTTTATGAAGTTTCTTCCAGGAAGCATCAATGCCTTGTGAGGTATTAGCATCCTTCCATCTTCTAAAGGGCAGATTTGCCCCTAAGGAAGACTCACGTGCATCAGTAAGACCAAATTTCTTTGTAAGGGTGTCTCTAGAGTTCACAAATTCCTTTGTAAGGGTGTCTCTCGAGTTCACAATTCGCTGTCTCACATTTGGCACTGGAAAGCCCTTCGGTTCTCCATCCGTAGGCATGCCTATGCTTGCTTCTTCTCCTGCAAAGTCCGTGTATGAATCCACAGAGTTTGCTTCATCCAACAGTGTAGCAAAAGCACTAGCTTTTGCGGAGCTAATACTGTTTTCAACACCAACCTGTAAGGAGTTCTTCATCAATGCCCTTATTTTGGGGACCTTCAATCTACTAAAACTTCCAAGCGAGCTAGACAGAGTCTTCCGACCTGTGGCATGAAAAATCTCGGCAACCTTTAGGACATGAAAATGGGACAGATCAGGAGAGCTTCAACTCTCATAGCTTATGAATGAATAAGTAGCCCCGTTAATCAGCAAGTTATGGAAATTTTAATTGGCAGCAGCAAGTTGCATTTGCTGATTATACAATTGGCGCATATTACCAGATTTTTGAACTGTGATTACAATTATAAAATAGTAGTAACTAATCTAGGGGTTTGATATTGAGAAAATAGAATGCTTATAGTTCACCTTTTTGACATAAAACACATTTAATTGCAAGAATAAAAAGATCAAACTGGATAAATGATAAATCTAATAAGCAGAAATCAATATCTTTTTTATTCGACAACCGTTTCATGGTTTATTAGCTATATTTGAATACAAATGCCGAACAGAAAGCTACAAATGGATCTGACCTCCTTGCTTAGGGCTACCCTTGGGTTTCAAGGACATTGCTTCTTTGGAAGGGATAGAGGAGTCACCATCATCGATGCCACCCCAAACTATCACATTCTCACCAGTTTCATCATCAATGAGGCGGTAGGCACCAGCTGTGTCCATCGGAATCTGCCGGTATGCCTCCGCAAGAAGCTTCCCCCACCTCCAACACTGGTGGACATCACTAGCTGGAACTTGACTTGCCTTACAAGGAGCTGATAGGGCATTGAAAGGAAAATTCTGTAAAAAGGATGTTTTAACCGGCTCAACAAAGTATTTCTTTCCCTCCTGGAAAATGAAGAAACTCATGAGAAAATGTATCAGTTTGTTTGATCAAGTTTAGATTACGTACTGAAAAATATAGAAGAACTTTGTCATGATGAAATCATTGGACCAATTTATAAATAAAAATAGAAGAAAAATACCAGTGAACTCGCTGATCTATTATAACAGAGTAGAAAGAACTTGCGGATCAATGTTTAGAGTAGAGATAAATTGTTGATTTATGTTTAAGTAGTAAAAGTTTTAATTCATACAATTGAGTACAACATGGCATAGAAGCTTTACAACAAATACTAAGCAAAATGCCAAATAAAATTGAACTTTCTCAAATTTAAGTTATCAGACATTAATGTATTGTTATGATGAAAAAACAAAATAACTAGCATACAAACTTTACTGTTAACTTAGAATATTATGAGAAGTGTGAGTTGCATTTCGTTTGGTCTGTTACCCAAACCTCTCCATGGTAAAAACTTTGAATGGATTTGATCAGTCATTCAATTATTTATATAAACTCTAATTGATCTAGCGGGTTACTAAATAGCACGAATGAACAAATTGACAGTGTCACAAAAATGTTCTTTGAGTGAAAAGGGAATTAAAATAGAAATGTTGGAATGATTAAGCTTTATTTTGTTTCAAGATGGTACAGATGCTCATATATAGGCAAATATAAGAAACAAAATAAGAAGAAGATTACTCTCACTTATGAGGATATATTACATCAATAAAAGTAAATATTGCAAACTAAAAAATTTTCAATCTTAATAAATATCCTATGCCAATACTCTCCTTCAAGTTGGAGCATATATATCAACAAGTTCCTAATTGTTGCAAAATTTAAAAAAAATGGAGTGATTACATTGCCTCACTAGAAATACCAGCTAATTATTATTTGCAGAAGATGTAATGGGCGATGATCTTCGTTGATAGAAAAACATCCTTGATGAAATGAGAATCTAGTTAAATATGATTGAAATTTTTAATAAGCAATGTGGATTGTTGCCTGATTATTGTTGTTAAAGATCATGACCGTGTTATAAGAAAGCCAAATTCTTCTATTAGAGTTTTGATCCACATCATTTTGCAAAAAAAAAAAAAAAAAACCCTAGCCTTGTATTTAGTTTCAAAATTGGATTTAGTGACAATCATTTAATTTTTACGTATCTAGGAAAAAAGATTACCTCCCACAAAAATATAGTATCCTGAAGTTGACTTTCAATTTTTAGTGGATCCAATATAGTTAACATCAAAATAAGATTCAATATTTAAATAATTATGTTTTTAATAAACCATATATTCTAATAAAGATTTCTTAATACATGAAATTCTTAACAGAAAAATCCTAGAGTTTATTCTTTGAGTTTTGCATATGTTGATAAATCATGCCAACATAAAAGATATATCAGGTATTGTGATAGCTAGGTAGATAAGATATGCCAACTAGATGTCAGCAATGAGAAGCATCTTTGAAGCATTGATCATTATTGCATGTTAGCATGGTATCCATACAAGAGTCAACAAGTTTGCATCTGAGAAGCCTAGTTTCCTTAAGCATACCTTTACCATAAAAAAATTCGACGCCAAGAAATTATTTTAGACATCACATGTTTATACTAACAAAGGTTTTCTAAAGATGTTGTTTTATTTCCTCCATACCATAAATAACATTTTTAGTTAGAAGAATGTTATCAGCATACATAGTGAAAATCTTTGTGCGAGAGCATGATGTGATGCATAAAGATGATTGCACAACCGAGCTAATTCAAAGACCAATATCAGAAAAGACCTTGCCGAGTGTAGAAGGATGCCCCATCACAGTAGACAAGATGGAACAAGGCACCTCAAAAGGAGGCAGAAGAGGCTAGTTAGCAGAAAATAGTCATCAAAGAGTAGGCTTCATAGCAATAGGAGATGCCTCTGGTGTTGAAATTACAAGTGTAAGGTGACAGTTATAATAAGCATAAACTAATGCTAGTTTTGCTTGGGATTAATCAAATGTAATGAGAAACTAGCTACTAGATTTAAATGAGAAAAAAAAAAACATGTAGCCGACCCCAAGTAGTGGGATAAAACTCATAAAAGCGTGTTGTATTTGCAATGAGAAACCAGCTAGTGACTATTAATTTTTTTCCTCAAACCTTCATAACTATCCCTAAGACCACTAGTCTTGCTTGGGATTAAAACCCCAACTATGTTTCAAATATGAGGTTGGGAGGGAGGCATAGCTTCGAATATGATTCTTTCCAAAAAAACAAAAAACAAAAAGATAAACAAGAATAACCCCCAACTAACATGGCAAGAAAGACCCATTAATATTAGTAAACATTGATGTTATAAGAAAACATAGATGGGTTGGTCTGGCAGGGTTGGGCATCTCCTGCCTCAGCTAAGGAAGTGGAACTTCAGGGGTGGCTAGATCACTACCTCCCCTTCCAAACCGCAACAGCCAGCAGCTCTCTTCTTGTTGACTATGCCGGTGACTAGAGCTTAATTATTTTGCCGGTCAGCATTCAAAACATCTCTCGGGACAGTGAAAAAGCTATTGCGGCAGCAAATGGAGACGACGTGCAACGGAGGCAACTTAAGTCTTAACTGAAGGTCACTTCAGACATTGACAACTAAACAAATTTCTCCGAATTAAATTATTGTTGATTAAAGCTATTAGATCAAGATAATCAATTGGATAATCCCAGAATACCTTGAGGCTACCTTGATTAAATGGACTCTAAGCAGGCTATGAAAGCTGACGTGCCATAACCGTGATTATCAGTTCAACATCTATAATAAACATCTATCAAAGTGCCAAGAAAGCCCTACACTAAAGCTGTGAATAGAACTCTACGCGGACACTTTTGAATTATAAGAATTGCAATCTTTAGGTTTGAGCTAAAAACCAAAGCATAAGAGCACCCTAACAGGTAAGACCTCCTAGTTCAGCGGAACTAAACCATTTTGGGTTTCCATAGCTGATTTTGAGAATCTATGCGGACAGATTTCATTTCATGCTAACTGCCTAAAAATTCTAGTCCAAGCTACAAGCGCATACGCTCAGATTGTTCTATAAGCGACAATACAAAAAAAAAAAAAAAAGGAAGCGACAATAAAAAAAAAAAAAAAAAAGGAGAAATTATAAGTAATTGAATGACCTACTAATCAACTCCAATGGATTACAGAGCCAAAGCAGCAGGGAGCTGGGCATTTGATTACAAATTACAAGAGTAGCTTAAAACTAGTGATAAATTTTGAAGCACTTGATGCTAGTCTAATCACCCAGAGATAACCTAATAGCAGTCAAATGACAACAAAATAACATAAGAAATGATTCCATGAACACTAACCCTCCAACAGTGTTCGTGATGTGCGGCGCGGTTATCTCCGAAAATCATGGCCTTCACATTGACTAAAGGAACCGCTGACCATGGCGTCGTTTTCCGATCGGAGATTTTGCGGAGGAAGAGGCGCCGGGGCAAAGGGAAGATGCAACTTTCATTGGAGGAGGAGAGTGAAAGAGCTATGAATGCCGGAGAAGCCGTCGATGGCATTGTAGAGATTGCAGACTGCATGGATACAAGCGAACGCTCTTCCGCTTCTTCTTTATTCACCTCGCCCCTTTCTTCCTCTAGTCGAGCTTCTCCGCCTTAAGTCTCCTGAGTCTGACCTTATCCTGCCCGGCACCAAGTCTGAACTATATATATTCTCTCACAATATTGATCAAATTTTATCAAAATTAGTATAAATACATATATAAATTTTTATTATTTTATAACATAAATGTAATACTTAATTTTTAAGCAAAAAATTCAATGGAATTGATCTTCAAGCTGCTGAATTTTTATTTTAAAATTAATATAATTAATAAAATAAATTTAATAATTTTAAAGCTCATATTAACCAGAATTTAATTAGGAATTAGGATACAACTTTGCCAATTTATAAATATCAACACATAACAAATTAAAAAACCTTCTCACCAATCTTTTCTCTTCTCCAGAGAGCGATGGAGTGATGCTTGAAATAAGAATATCTATTTCGCAACAAATCTAATAATATAATTTAAAATAAGGATCCAATAGTTAACAAATTGATAAATCAATGACAAAATAAAAAAAAATAAAAAAATTAATTTAGCAGCTACTTTTATTTTACAAAAAAAAAAAAAAGAAAAAAAAAATTTTTTTTAATAACAACTGATCTCTTATAGATATCTTATTTGCTCAGCTAAATTTTACTCAAAATCTCATCACTCAAATTTTATTGAGTTCTTGAATCAATTCTATAAAGACCAGTTGTAATTTTAGAGATTATTGAAAAATATGATATTTTATTGAAAAATATTTGAAGTTTTTTAAGATCCTGAGATGAACATTCCAAGAACAAACGTACTAAAATAATTATTTTTTGTTACGTTTTTATCTTAATAAATTATAATTTTGTTTTAAATGTGAAGATACTTACAAAATAATTATTTACATTTAAATTAAAAATCATATTCCATGAAAAAATTATGACTAAAAATAAAAATAATGATTTTTTTTTTCAAAATCTTAAGAAAATGTATAATTTGTAACTAAACTATTTAAAAAGTAATGATAAATGCTAAATTTAATAGAAAGTTTCGATATAATTATAATAACTTGAAAAAAAAAAAAAAGAGAAGAAAGAGTGCTCGCCAGAAAAAAAATGGAAATTCACGGGAGAATTAGCCGAAGCCATGTTAGGCTATCTATGCCGGAAAAGTTGTTTGAAGGCATTAAAGAAGCTTTGGGCATTAGAATCCATATCTGAGCCAGAAATAGCATGAAAAAAAAAATTATAGAAAAACAAATTAGTATCAATAAATATCAATTACTTCGCCTAATCAAAGTAGGAAAACGAAAACTTATTTAAGCGCTATAATCAAGAGAGAATCAGACTCCTACTAAGAGATTTCAAAGAGAAATTGGAAAACCACATGGTAAAACATTGATCTAATTTAATTTAGAGAATTTTTTTTTTGGAAGAGATGTACATTTACGCACGAGCTCCAGGTGAAGAAGCTT